TGTATTTATTACCCTCATTATAACCAGTAACCTCATTAGCATCACTGACTGCGGATCAAGACTTCTACCAGTGGCTAGTGTTTTCCCAGAGCACAAAAAAGATGTAAGATTGCTGTGGTCAGATATTTTCCTTGGGAAAATTATTTAAAAGGATTTGAAAATTGATTGAACACTGGCAGCAAGAATATGTAAAATTATTGTGATATATGAGCCTCTGTTCTGGAAAGAATATAGTTTCCATTCCAGATATGGGGGAACCAAAATAATATAATTTGGGAACTAAAAAAGGAATTTTAGCTAAATTAAATTTTAGGGTGAAGTATCTAGCAGACAATAAAAAAATACAAGAAACAAGAGAGTAGAAAAATGAGTCACAGAAATAGATGGCAAAAATGATTAAATAATGTCATTCTGTAATCATTTTGTCTAATTTAGTAAATTTTATTTCATTGAAACTTTAGATAGTATTTAGTATCATTTTTTATTATTTCAAGACTCTTGGTTTTGGAACAAAAGCATTGCATCTCATATGTCTGTTCCATATTCAATAAATACTTGGATGGTCACATCATCTAACATAATTTCCCTAATATAAAATGGTCATTTTTTAATTAAAATATTTCATTTCTTTTAATTTTATGTATATGACTGTTTTGTCTGCATGATGTAAGTGTACCATGTGCATTCAGTGCCCACAGAGTCCAGAAGAGGGCATTGGATTCCCTACCTGGAGTTTGAGATGGTTGTTAACCTCTAAGTTGGTGCTGGAAATCTAACCTGGGTGCTTTTAACCAGTGCTCTTAACCATTGAGCTATCTCTGCAGCATCGAGTTATGTATATTTTGTGGCAGTGTTATATAATCATTTGTCAATTGTTCATGTTAAGAATATGCCAAATCAATTAGAAAGAAAAGATTACATTTCTTCCAGTTTATCAAAACAGATGTCTAGATCCACTACTGGAGTCCAGTTTTTCAATTCTGGCATTTTCTATGTCCCTGATTCTTAAACATAGGTAACATATATTTGGTATTTAGTTTTCTGAGTCAGACTTCATTTTCTCCATCCAGGAAACTTGGAAAGACTTGGCAATGTTATAATGTTTATGCTTAATTTAAAAAATTTAAATCTTTCAAAACTGTAATCACAGCAAATTTTTAATAAATTTTAAAATATTAAATATTTTATTTCCTCTATCTTTAATTTTACTACCCTGGAGTAATAACTAATAATCATTTAGTATGTATCTTCTTTAGCATTTTTATAAATGTAAATAGATTCAGTCTTTTTATTGAAATGTGAACTTAACCACACACACTTTTCTGAAATGAGTTTAATGGAAACTTTATTTATTAAGCATGATATTTATTAATTTTCTAGGAAATGTCATTATCAACTTTTCATTTTTTCAAAGCTGTTAAAAAATCAATGTGAGAAATCATGAACAATCACCACACTGTTTATAGGCAATAATAAGAAATCTACACAATATGTTTGCAAAGACTGAAATACTATTCTAAGATCTTCATTAATTTTGTTGCAACACACAAGCTGTACCATTTTGTAATTTTTAAAAATATTTTATTTATTATTTTTACTTTATGTGTATAAGTTTATTGCTTACATGTATGTAGGTGCAACCGTGTCATGCAATACCTGCAGAGATCAGAAGAGGGCATCAGATTCCCTGGAATGGAGTTATGGACAGTTGCTAGTCACTGTGTGGGTGCTGGAAATCAAACCGGGGTCCTCTGAAAGAGCATCCAGTGCTCTTAATTGCTGAGCCATTTCTCCATCGCCCTGTATGTTATTTTTCCTTGGAAGGCCCCATTCAAATATGGGGATAATATGCTTAGGTAAATCTTAGGTTAACCTCTGCCTTCTTAAATTTGGAAATTATTGAGTGACTTGCAGAGGCATCATTCCTAAGAAGCTGACAGAAGTGATGCTGTGTTTTATCCATTCTGAACCAAATCTGTTTCTGAAGGTACCCACGCAGGTTCAGACAGCACTTAAGAGAGGGAAGTTTACATTGTCCTCTGAAGCCCAGGGCACGTGAACCATCATATGCAACTATCATTAGCAGTGTCTGCACTGAAAAGAGATTAACACAAATATGACTTTGGCAAATGTGTATTTTCTTTTATACTTCATTGTGAAATTAGCTCAAGCTAGGTGTAATTTCAGGAACACAGGGATACACTGCTTCAGCCTATTCCACTTCTTGGTTTAGATTACCTCTTTATAGCTTAAGATCTAGTTTACAGTGGAGGTGATATCAAATGGATTTAGATGCTCAGAATGGTAGATGGGGGTGGGGGTGGGGCCTGGAGAGATGGCTAAATTTATAAAATGCCAGCAGCACAAGCATAAAGACTTGAGTTCCATCCCAAGCATCCATGTAAAAGGTAAAGCCCAGGCCTGTCTGCAATCCTAGCAACTGGGAGGTGGAGACCAGAGGACCTGGGCACTAGCTAGCCAGCCAGCCCAGACAGTTGGTGATCTCCAGGTCCAGTGCAGATAACCAGTCTTGAAAACAAATATGAAAAGTGAAAAAGGAAGAGATAGGACATCAACCTCTGACTTGCACCTGGGAAGGTGTACTCACATACACTGCACACACATAGAATGTTAGCTTTTAATGCTGTTGAAATTTTTCTTTCCTATACGCTACACCGTCTACTACCGAACCTTCTATATAATGAAGTAAAAGTTGTGGGTAATTTAGAATATATCACCTTTCTATTAGTTACTTTTCTTTTTCTGTGATAAAACACTATAACCAAGGCAACTTGTACAAAGAAGAGTTACTGGGCTTACCATTCCAAAGGGATAAGAGTCCATCATGGTAGGGGAGGTATGGCAGATGCAATCAGAGCTAAAGGCTGAGAACTCACATCTTCAAGCACTGACAGGAAACAGAGAGAGCAAAACTGGAAATGTGGCGTGGCTGAGAGCTTGCAAAGTCCGTCCCCAGTGACTTGCTTCCTCCAGCAAGGCCACACCTCATAAACTGTCACAAACAGTGCCACCAACTGAGGCCAAGTATTCAAATACTTGGAGCCTATGGAGGGCACTCTCATTCTAACCACCACAATCTTATTTGTAAATTTACTAATGAAAACTGAGTCTCTATCAACGTTGTTCAAAAGGAGAATGTAGAAATAAATTCAGAATCATGATGACAAATATAATTATATGATTTAGTGTAATAATGACTAAGCAATCTGTTGAATGTTCTGATTTAGTTAATATTGTATATTCTTATTTGCAAGAATACTATCAGAAACAACAGTTTTAATGTAGCAGTTTGAAAATCCTGTGCTGCATCTTTATCCTCTTTATTGCCTCACCCTAGTCCTAGAGTATTCTTAAATGACCCACATGAATTCCTCAGCACAATGAGCTCTGAGGTCTTAAAGGTGCATTAAGCCACCAGTCTCCAGTCATGGCCTCTTCAGAGTCACTACCCTTGTCCTTGATCTGGGCCTTAACCCCTCTATCCATTTCCCTTGCTTCATATTCTTATAGAAGATTCTACTAATCTTTAGAAAGTATCTTTTATCCTCTTACTCTTTTTGAGTTTTATGTAATCTTCCCTTTTCCATATCATTGCTTTAATGAAGATACTGGCTTACAGTTAAGACCTAAGAAGACTAACAGACCTAGTCCAAATTCTCTCTTGTCTTTTTGCTAGTTGTGTGGTCCTGGCAAATTTGTATCTTTAAGTCTTAGTTACTCAGTTTTTATTTATGAAGGACACACCTCAAGGTTATTACGAGGTTTTGGAAATAAAATTGCTATCACAGCCCTTTCCAAATGATACTTGGTAAAAGCTGAGTATCATGAGTAGATAACCTTTATCCATAACCATTAGGTTAAATGAATTTTCAGAATTTTATGAAATTTAAAGGGTATACAACTTCCATATATTAATTAGCTTCTTCAAAAGGATCTTAGTCAACATTCTTAAAGAAATTGAGAATTCTGTATGATACCACTTATAAGCTATTAGTAGCTTATAATTATCTTCCTATAATTTTAGTTTGAATAGTACTACCAAATGAATTAAGAAAAATACAGTCATTATTCAAATCACTGATTTTTGAATAGTAGATTAGTGATCTGGAAAATAAGGGGATTCTCTATTACCTTTTTAAAACACATTTTACTATTTTTATTCTATGTGTATGAGTGTATTGCCTACATGTATGTAAGTGCAACCGTGTTGTGCAATGCCCACGGAGGTTGTAACGGGCATTGGAGCCCCCAGAACTGGAGTTACCAACAGTTGTTAGCCACCATGTGAGTGCTGGGGACAGAACCCAGATTCTCTGTAAGAGCAGATGGTGCTCTTAACCTTTGAGTTATCTCTCCAGCCCTGGATATTCTTTATTTTCTTATCACAGATTAAAATATATATCTAAATTTGACTACTGGGTATTTTTTAAGTTATCAAAAATGATACTGCAGAGAACCAATCATACCTCCATTTCTGAAATGTATTACCCTGCTCAGGAACCCTCTAAATTTCTACTGAGAAGTGAAAGACAATGTATTTGAAGTATTCTGACTAGGACCATACTGAACATAGAGAATTATGTCACATTTAGTTTTTTTTTCAGGATGCAAGATGTGTAATATCTGTGGCTAAAAAAGACACAACAACCAGGAGCCTTCATGTCTTCCTCTATTCTTGTTTCTGGCTCCTTTTTATATATTTTACTAGGAAGATATGTTAACTGGATTTGTAATTACATGTGAGAAACTACTAATTTTAGTTTATGTATTTTACTGTTTTCTGTACATATGTATGAATTTTTAGAAATACAGATGGCCTGTTGATCAGATGATATTGCTTTTTTCTGTTATATAAATTTTAGTCTGTTCTTTTATCTGTTGATTTGGAGACTTGTAAGAATAAAAGTAGCAGTAAGATTATAGTCTTCTAATATATGATTATTGATCTAAGTTGATTCTATTCTAAATTATTTTTTCAGTGTCCTACTGAAACCAAAGCAACATTTGGGGTCCATCTTAAAGTAGTAGGAGACTGGACAGGTATGTACCACACACTAGCTTTAAGGTAAATGTTTTGAAAAGCATAGGTCGTAACAATAACTTGAATGTGTTAAGACAATTAACTGCTTTACTAGCACACATGGAAACATCCGTATATTTTGAGCAGCTTTTCAGTTTTCTTTTTTTTTTTTTTGGTGTTTAATTTTAATACTTAAGTTTTCATCAGAACACCATGGGTCTCAGTAATTATTGTAATGTGTTATTCATAGGGTTTCAATCATAGGCTTCCTCATGTCAGCTTTACTGGCAGCAGTGGAAATGTAGAAACATATCCCTTGAAAGCATTGTTTTTAAATTTATGGTTGGTTCGATGTTTTAAATAATCAAACCCTGTGCAGATGAGACACCTCAGCTTAACAGTACTTGCTGCTAAGCTTAATAATGTGTGTTCAATCCCCGAAACCTACATAGCAGAAGGAGGAAATTGACTCCTGAAAATTCTTCTTTGTCTTCAACATGTATCTCCCCTCTGACACACACAAACATACAGAGAGAGAGAGAGAGAGAGAGAGAGAGAGAGAGGGAGAGAGAGAGAGAGAATAAAAATTTTAAAAATCCATCAGCACCTGGAATTGAGAACAAAGTCTTTTGGTTTTGAATGACCCTTTGGGTAGAATATCTGTAAACTCTAGAGCATGTTTAGAATAGAGATAGATGGTACTTTTAATAGCAAGATTATTGGTGCTACTTTAAGTTATCTATTTAATAAATATATTGTATTATTTGAGAAATGTATTATATTGAGTTCCAAACAAATAAAAGAAATAGTATTCATTTTTATATTCCCCTAACCCATCAGCATGATAGACAAATATATGCTTAGTACACATTGGACCTGTGACTGTTTGTGTAGATTGTTGTTAAAGGGAAGAATGAAAGCATAAGAAATAATACAAATTAAAATATATTTTTGATTCAATGCCAAACTAGTATCTTATTTAGAAAATCTACAGGGAGTCTAAAAATGTCAATTCAGTTGTAGTCTTGAGCTATTTAAGGTAAATCATGAAGAAGGCAGAATTTTAGCTAAACCTTGCCTAATCTGGTAAATATAGAAAGATGTAGGGAAAAATGCAAAATTTACCAGATTGTCAAATATCAGTGAAGGTAATAATTAACCATATTTGGGAATGATGAGTCAATCAGGTTCAATCAATCAAACAAAAACAAAAACAAAAACAAAGTCAATCAGATGAATCAACGTGAAACAAAACAACGTTGACTAAACAAAAGTAAGAAACTCATCTGATAAGCATTCTTTGGTTCACCTTGGTGAAGATCATGTCTCTTGGTAATTTTAGACTAACTGGGTAGTTTGAAGGATTTGAACCACTTTAGTGAAAACAGCATTAATAAGTTGCTAGTTGTACTGATTAGCATCAATGGAAATGTGTATATTCTTTAAAACAGGGGAAGGAAGTAGAGGTATGCAGATGGAACCTGGAAGAAAATGGCTCTGGGCAAATGTTAAGAAATTAGAATTGGAAGAAAGGAACTAATTTAAAAATCAGAGAAGTTAGGATGTTGGATAGTGAGGAAATATTCTGAGATTAGGAGAAGAGTAGTTGATAAAGCAAATTACATCATATAGTAAGCTATAATGATAGTGTGGGAAAATTCTCTGTGCTTTATTAAAGGCAATGAGCTTATTAGTGGAGACTGGAAAATGTGGAGAAAAAAGCATTATATAATTTAAGGGGATAAATCCCAAATCCATTAAAAACACTGAGAGGGAAAACTAAAAGAAAGATTGAGAAGTAATGATCTACTTGTAATGAAAAATAAGCTTAAATACATAACACTCATGACACCCAAAAGAGGTCACAGCAGCCCATCAATAAACACTGGTGTATCCTGGAAAGGTAATTCTTATGATATACCAGAAGTAGTTGGGGAAAAAAAGCAGTCATCTGGGAAATATAGAATGAGGGAAATTCCAGTAAGAATCCTAATGTAGTAGAAATTAAGTTCAGTGATGAATGGTAATTGATAAAATTCTGTATCTGAAGGAAAAGGATGAAGAACATATAATTTAATACATAAGGATAAGTAAAAACTTCATAATGGTTTATTACTAGGTATTGCATCTGAGTTTTTTCTCAAAGATCTTTTTGATCACCATCAGCTCATCAAAGGGAATTATTACTTCAATATTTATTATAATTATCTCCGTTAGGAGGACATAATAATGTCAATTTTATCCTCCTTTTAAAATGTGCTGTAAAACTGAAAGAGAAATAAGATCAGTCTCTTCAGAGTAAAGTTCCAATTAGATATTTTTCGTGTAATACACTTTTAATTGATGACTTGAAATATTTGTGGACTTAAAAAGTAATCTCAAACACTCATACAGAAATCCTTATATAATTCTGTCACTATCTTACACAATTTCAAAACAGATTTAGCTGTCCTAAAACAATGAAGTCATAGTTATTGAAGGGAAAATGGGAACATTACTCCTGAAATCAAAGATCATTGATTTTTCCACTAATATTAAAATTAAGAGCAATATATATAGAAATGCTGAAGTGGCAGTTAAGAATTTGAATAATGAGAGCCTTACTTTTTAAATATACACATTATTTTCTTTATTGTGTGTGTATGTGTGTAAGCGTGCATATGTATGTGATGGTTATGTGAGTGGCGGTTGATGTATGCCACAGCATGCCCATGGAGGTCAGACAGAACCTTTAGCAGTAGTTTCTTTTCTTCCACCATTGGTTATGACTGAATCAGGCTTTAATAGTAATCACTTTTATGTGCTGAGCTATTCCTCCAGCACTTGACATGGATTTTTTTTTTAATTTTTAAAATTTATTTACTTTTATGTGTATGAGTATTTTGTCTGTGTGTATGTAAGTACACTATGCTTGTATAATCCTGAGGAGGCCAGAAGAGAGCATTAAATCAGTTGGAACTAGAGATACTGATGGTTGTTAGCTACCATGTGGGTGCAGGGCACCAAACCCTAGGTCCTTTCCAAGAGCAGCCTGTGATCTTAACCATTGACCCATCTTTCCAGACCCCTGACATGGATTTTTATTAGTGACTTTTCTTTGATGAAATATGCTCTTCATGGGTCATGGACAGGATGTAAAGAACAGGTTTAGGTTTGATCTCTATAAGAACAATCAGCTGTACATAATGTTCAAGAAATAAATAGCACATACCAAATATGATGAGGTGTCTAAATTTCACATGTATTGTCTAAATTTTCAAGAGTTGCATCTCCTAAATATGTCAGCAGCCCATTAAACTTAGAAATTTCTTAAAACTTCTAATACACAACTTAAGTTTTTTGTCCCTTGCAAAGATGGTGGTAAAGACAGTAGAGAGCATTGAATTAGTATTTTGTTACTCTTTTATGATTAATTGTATTTCCAATTTCAAACACATGATAGTGCAATGCCTATTGGCTTGGTTATCATTATGTCTAAAATGTCTTAACCGTGTTAGATATAATTATGATAGAATAACGTCAGAATTAGTATTATACTATTGATTATTTTAGTAGTCAAAATAACAGATTATTCCAAAGATATTGAGTTCACAACAAAAATATTATATGCATAATATCCATATGTGATTAATTCAAATTTTTTCTATGGATTCATTCAATTATCAACGAATAGGCAATCAATGTGGGTAAACATGAAATAGAATGCCCCTTGTATGTATCACATGATGATTTTCTTGATTATGAAAATTTCATATTGTCCATTATAATTTTCTATCATCATAAAGAGATGCTTAACTTTTAGAATTAAAAGTGAGGAAACAGGACCATAGAACAACATAGATTTGCCCTAACAACATGAAATATTTATTAAGCATACTGCAAGATGTGTTTGTCATAACTTTAATTAAGCTTGAGCAACAAAGAAAGTGATTATTAGTATGCCTCTTTTATTTCTACGTCATGACTAAAGCCAGGCATGTTTCATGTCCCATCCAGTAGATGTTTTTTCATAAAAAGATTAAGAGTTTAGTCTGAGTTGCTTGCATGCATCTGTGTAGGGGGTATTTATCCGAGCATGGGCAACTTATCAGTGCCTACACCATTGAAGAAAATGACACTCCCTTCCCCCAGCAATGTTTAACTACCAGTGAACCCTCAGGTAGGAGTGGGGCTTTAGTTGCAGCAAAACATCAAATAAATATGAGTAGACCCAGGGAACTCCATTTGATGGATAGGTAAATGAAGATATCAAAATAAGTTGGGGAGAAATTGACTTGTTTGGGCCACATAAATCATATCTGAGTGAAGAAATGTCTGTATATAACTCAAGTTTATAATTCTATAATTCTAAACATTAGCCTAAGACTACTGTAGAAATTTCCAACTGCTATATCCACAAGGGTAAAATGGAGGTGTACCTTTTACTGTAGTTGCTGCGATTGTTGAATTCCAATGGCTAGTCATCTGTAGAAGATACTATTTATATAATACATTACTATGGCTAATAATCACCAGGTACTAAACATGTACTATAAGCTATAGGAGAACAAAAGTTTTAATCTGATGGCTAGTCAAAGGCTTGGTATTCAAGTCTGTCTGAATGATTATTCATATTGTGTTATAGGTACTGCCTACTTGTTGTAATGTTGTGGTTGTTTAAAAGAACTTAAGAAGGAAGGGGAAATGGATGAGAATTCTGAGCTTTATAAGAAAGTGATAAAACTCATTTGAAAGTGTGATTGCAACACCATTTCTACAGTGATTTGGTGGTGGTTTTACCCTCTGCCATATGGTCCTGGTTGATGGACTGTATTAACCTCATCTGTACCCTGTGTTCTGTCAGTCTCCATGGGTGATTTTCATTTGATTTCCAGCATCCATCAGGAGCAACACTATGTGTGGCAGCTGTAGTTTTACAAAATGTGTTTTTAAAACAATGAGACTTGGTACAGAATTGAGTTGAAATGGTTAGTTTGAACATCTACACCAGAATTCTTGTGTTTCTAGGTGCAATGACAGC